AACCCCCCCCCCCCTGCCAATAATGAAGATTTAGAATAAATATAAAATTTTATTTTTGGCCAATTAGCGCACTTGCTGCCACAAAAAATGGAAGTTTTAGAAAAAATCGAAAGTATTTATTTATTTTTATTATCCGAAAATAAGATCTGTATATTTCTTCTTAATTAATTAATGCTAATATAAATTTAAATCATTTAACCATCCCATTACTACGCTGTTTACATTCAACAATAACCTTTTATTTTAATTTCTCCTCCATCTGGATGTTTTTGGCAAAACCATTTGCTAAATAAGACTAAAAAAAAGTTTTATTTTTATTTTTTTTTTTCGCCCTCTTCTGACGATATTTAAAAAAATAAATTCAGCAAATCAAGGTATAATGAAGTCTCGCCTAAGTAATGATGACATGGATTTATAGTGCGTTTGGTATATTTAACAGGAGATTGATTTCATTGGGAAGTCAGCATTGATTGAACAGAAAAGCAAAGGAGTTGAGTCGAAGTTAACACAGTTCCTCCTGGAAGACCATGACCTTGATAATGACCTTTGGCCATGGGGAGACGAACCGATTTACCGGGACGGCAAGTTTACCGGAATGTCAACCTCCAGTGGTTATGCTCCGACACTCGGCAAGATGGTCGTAGTAGGTTGGGTGACCAATCAGAATGAGCAGACAGGACAGCGAGACATTGTGACCAATGACTTTGTATTGAAAGGTCATTATGAGATTGAACTATCGGGTAAAAGGTTTCACGCTAGAGGGAGCCCTTACCCAGTGAAGCTGCAGCTCAAACAACCTCAGTTTGGTTAACAACTGTAATTGTATCATCATACTGTATAATTCTGATAGAAACCTTGGGTCAATCAATCAATCAATCAATCAACCAATGAACAGAAATTTGTAAAGCGCAATTATCCATGGCAGATTTGATCGGATAAAAATAACCTCCGACTTGGGATCATTAAGACAAAAGTTATACAGTAAGCCACTGTTTGATATTTACAGTACACTGTTCTAGTGATTTGATTGCTGATGGAAAATTGTTCTTTTTAAATGAAAGGTAGATCTATGTGTCATCGGCATACTGGTGGAATTCTATATTGTGATGCCTTATAAGTTTACCAATAGGATCAATTTAATAGAAAAAAGCAAAGGCACAAGAATAGATCCCTGGGGCACACCTTGTTTAGGAGCATAGCAGACTTTGATTGCTGAATTGAAGTCATTAATTCTTTGTTTAATTTTTGCAGGGAGTTGTTATACTACTGTAGTTCAGTTGTTATAATTCAGCAATTGAAGTCTGAACTATAACAACTCCCTGATTTTTGTGTCTAGTGCCCTTTTAGGGGCCTACTGGGTTTCTATTTTAAGTTTTATGTTAATTTGAAAAAAAAAATGTTGTGAACTACAGTATCAATAAAGGAACTTTCAGGGATAATTTGTATGGTTTTGTTTTTTGAAGTCATAATTCAGGTAGGCCTTCAGGGTCTACTGGGTTTCTATTTTAAGTTTTACGTTAACTTGAGAAAAAATGTTGTAAACTAGAGTATTAA